AGGGCGTATTTCATAGACATGGATTAAACTAATCCTGGTCTAATACACTGAAAAAGATAACTTTGTCTTGCTGTCTGTGAAACCAATCCTTAAATCTCATTGAATTCAATATGATATGTTTGCCCTATACTCAGCTGTATTACACAATTTGGGAGATCCATCAATACAACTGTTTTATTTATAGCAACAAGACGGGTCATATAAGTACAAGAGTGATTTGAGTAAAATACATGTATGCTAAACAACAACTTCTTATGGCTCTGGAATTTATTGCGCATATTGCTTGAACTTTCAACAAAATTCCATCAAAGAGCCCTGTCTCATTTTTCCCTCTCTCACCCCTTTCATTTGCCTAATATATTAATCTATTCCCTTTTATCTATTTTAGATTATATTAGACCTTCTCAATATCACTGCAGTGGTGGCCAATACAGTTAAGTGTCGCCACAGTGTGATATCAGGCAGTAGACAGAGAATTAATCGCTAAATCATGATGTTCCTGTCTGATGTCCTTCTACGTTTAAAAGGCATTTAACTGACACTTCTACAGCGAGAGAGATACGAAGAAACCTGCAAACTGTCAGCTGCCTCTCCATCTTTGCTTTTACACTGAAAATATTTCCAGGCAACCCTCAATGGATGTTACAATTGAGTCAATTATTAATGGCTACATGATCTCAAATGCATTTTTGCTCCCTAAACATAGCTGGCTGTGTATGTATGTTGCTAATGTTGAGTCTGGCACTGTGTAAAATATTTAGGTGTACGAGTCCTTTACAATCATAAGAGCTCTGCACAGGATGCTGCAGTCAATACAACAGCACGAAAACTATCAATGATGTCCGCTGTGCTGGATATGAAAGATACTTGCATTGAAGCCATTAGACCGAGCCGAGCCAGTGATTCAGAGCTCCTCTGTCCTTGACTGAGTGTTGAGGCTTTGCTGCATGTGAGTGATTGTTTGATGTGAGAACATTGCCCCCTGCTGATTCCCTTCTGTACATTATCAGAGGCCTCCACCAGCCAGGCTGACTGACAGATACACGTGGAATTGGGTTTACTCAAATGCTACAAAGCCATAACTCTTAGCCTTTTGGTCCGCTCTTCTCTCATGTCACAACTCTCGAACATTTGTCATGTGAGTTTCGTCTGCAGAAAAAAAAAGATGTCTCATGTTCTGGATAAGCTGTTGACATGCGATTAGACTGCCGGCGCCAAAGTGTTCGGTAAATCATATAGAAAAAGAGTTTGAGTAAAATAAATTATTCACTTACATCCTGAATAAATATCCATTGCATAATAAAAAACAACATGGTAATGAATTCAGTGCAGCAGTATTCTCACTGCAGCATTAAAGCCGCTGAAAACTTCAAATCTGGAATATATCTTTTTGACATTAAATATTCATGACCAAATAAGCAACAATCATGATCCGAGTTAGTAAAGAAAACATTTGGAAACTGAGTTAATAGAGAGGCAAAGTCCCTGCCCTAGTGGACTACTATAGGACATCATTTCTGAAAAACAGTTTAGCAACAGTAAGCGTCATGAAACAAACATTTTTGGATCCCTTTTTTGTTGCCATGAATTACACATATGCAGCTGCATTAGGCAAACCTTTCTCTCTCACTGAAGCTACCCATGCTGTGATGCCTGCGTATTTAGTACTCATACGTGCAACAGTTCTAATTCTTTCTGATAAAATGTATTTGGATAAAGAACACGAGCTAAATCAAAAAAAAATTGAAACAAAGCTTAGTTCCCTAGATAATGTAAAATTAGATTACTTTTTGTCACGTCATATTATTTACATAATTGAATGAATGGGTTATATATGTACTAACCTTTACTTTATGGGAGTTGTTTCTTTTTTTTAATCACAAATTAAATGTTTATAAACTTAAAATGACATTTTTTTAAATGTCTTATAGTGACTGCTATACTGGATGTCAATTAATTGTAGAGTTTTGAATGTAGATCAAGCATTGCTTTAGTAAATCTAGTGAAATAGAATTTGTAATCAAACATTTTTTTGCGATCCTTCAATAAAACAAAAAAGGGTCAACAACGAATAATGAAAGCTGAGCACACCAAAACAAAGCCTGTGCCTCACTGTTACATAACTGTTTGTCTCCTAATAAAGCATCAGTTGGCAGCTGACGTAGAGGAAGTTCATAAGTTCAAGCATGTGTGACTGTTCTAAACACCATGTGGGTCCCATTTCATCTGTCAGCAAACACTTATTTCAAGATGACATTTTAATGTCTACTAGTTGAGTTATCCCACATAATAATAGTTGAAGGATTCTAAATAAACGATTAAAAAAACACCTGGTGAGATAAATTGGTATTCTAACAGCCGCCCTTGCTTGATGATAATCTGTATTCACACTGTCTGCCTTGTCAGATGAAAACCTTCAATTAGCAGTCAATTCTATTCAGTATTTCCTATCATTCCAACGCTATTTACATTCTCTGTCAGCAGCACCCAACGCAGCTCCTTGTCAGACAGTTGTGGGAATCACTTCGAGTGAGAATATTAGAACCCTGCCGTGAAGTGTAAAAACAAGTGTTTTGTAGTAATCACAGTAGTAGAGGGTTTCTTTCTACTGCCTGCAGATCCATACCTTGTGGCTGTAGAGGCAAGGATCCATAAGTTGAAGCGTCATCCTTTCTGTTTTAACCCCGGAGCCTCCAGCGCAGAGATGAAACACCTTTGATGCTTTGAGTTGCAGCCAAGTGCAGGCGGGGATCTATGCAAGCCCTCAGCATGATGCTTGTCCCCTCACCAGGTGTTCTTAGCGCATACAAGCCAGTGATTGAATTTTGCTCTGCTACCCACCCATGTCGCAGCTGGATTCACAGCAAATTAATTCAAAACCATACAGTAGCTGCTTAGCCGTTAAACGCTCTTCAATTAAAGGGCAAGCACATCCTTTCTTACTACTATAATATTAGCGTTGTGTTTGTGTGGTCGGCATCATGCATTGCTCTGAGCAATTCTTTTCTGAGGATAATAAAGCATCAGCAGTAGGATGTCAATCTCGCGCAACTCAATAACCAAAGTCGTACTGAGAAGCTGAGGAGCATCTCAGTTCCTTTGTGAGTTTGTAAATTGGTCCAGTGTGGAGATTTTCATCCAGTGTCATTATTAATAGTATTGTGGTGAGGTAGTGTGGGGGGCCAGCCACATAAAGGAACATCTTTTCAAAGCCAAAAGCAGGTCAGTGGGAGTCCGTTTTCAATGAGAAAGAGCTAAAGGCCAGACTGCAGAGACCCTGCCTCGACTCAGCCAATGTGTCTTGCTGGGTCGGCCCAAAAGCTCTCCAGGTTAGCTGGATCTCTGCCGGACCCCTGCTGGAAAAGGGAAATTGAAAGAAAAAATGAAATACTGTTTCATAGAATTGATCGCATTTCTAAAAATGATTATGTCAACATAACAGACAAACATGATAAAGACCTTGAGGATGACCTGTAGATATATAAATATGCATGCTACAAACATGCAAGTTAATAACGCAACAATTAGTTAATAAATTGAATTTACAGGAATTTACATAATTTTCAATGACAGAAAAACACCAAACGTTTGCTGTTAGGATTTAAGGTTTTTTCAAGGATTGTAATATTAACATTTTTTGTTTTGGACAAACAAGCAATATGAAGAATATAAATATCCAGATCAATACATAAAAAATAATCACGCACTCTTATGAATGGCTCTGATTACGGCTGGCTTTGGGATCATTATAATTAAATCATCAAATCACTATATTATATCATTATTTTCTTTGCTCAGAATCATCAATGTAAGCAAGAAGAAATCCTGAAGATCCTATCATCACAATATTGTAGGTAGTACCTATAGTAGGTAAACTAATACACGCACCTCAGAAAACAAATACCTTAAATACATAAAAACTGAAAATGAATTAAACAATAAAGATGACTTCACTGGACCTTCAAATTAGCCCCATGATTAAACCCTAACACCAAAATAACCTTCCCTTGGCAATTATGGGTAGAATAACAGCTTAGTGCAAAATGTTAAACAAAAGTTAATGAAATTCACTCTGAAAGGGAGACATGCCTGAGAGAAATGCAAAAATAATTGCTCTCTTGGATGTCCCTTTGGTACATAATACACAATAATGAAACCTCTAAAGTGCACTTCCAGCGGAAAAACAAGATGCAGTGCCATCTACAGTGGCGTTCAAATTGATTAACCATGATGCAGTGCCACAAAAAGAAATCTGGTGACAATGTTGTGTGTTCCCCCATCTGGAGCCATCTGCACCTAGCAGGTTGTGCTGACTCAGTGACTGGTAACCATAGCCTTTGAAGAGGACACCTTCAAGTTATGTTTAACAGCTGCCATCACTACAAACTACCATGACACATTCAGGTCACCAGTTAAAAGAGTCAGCATACCATACACTTTATGTTTAGTGTTACATGTTTGTGATGCCTACCTAAAGTTGTTGACTTTGTGGTCATTAGGCTGCCCTGGTCCTGGCCCTGCAGTGCTAATACTATACAGGCATCATTATATGCTCACATGCAAGAACACCTTTTGTGAACTGGTGTTTTTTTTATGCTGGTGCCCCCCTCATGCCATTTATTTTGTATACAGTTTTGGCCCCTGCCCCTCACACTGCCTGAGCCCGCCACTGCTTGGAACTAGCTCTTGGCTGCATGCTCAGTGGAATTTAGCTTGATACCAATTATCAGTATATCCAGAATATTAACGCATTGTTTTAAATGGTAGTCATTCTAACTGTCCACGCCAGAAGTCACTTTGTATACATTTAGCTGGTTCATAACATGTAACTCCTTAATATATTGAAGCAATTTTCTGATTCTTGCTAGGTCCACTTACTTGCATGGTTCTTGACAGTGTGCAGCATCAGTGCTGGCGGTGTTGTGCTCTGTGTGGCTCGCTGTCAGAACTGATACCCGGAAGTTGTAGTTTGTCGCTGCACCAATCAGCTGAGAGGTTACTTGACGCACTGCCACAATAATACAGGCAGCAGGACGGATCGCTGGAAATACAGTGTAGGATATTTAGATTTTACGATAGACAGGTTTTATCAATCAACTCACAAACTTGTTATTGCGCTTCCAAGATAACAGACGCCGAGGTACGTATTTTCAAACGTCGCTTAGACGATGTGAAAGCACGGTACCGATAGCTTCTGCTAGCTACCGTTAGCAAGGTGTCAGATGCTAGCCGATTTAGCTAACGTATGTGACAACCCGGTTGCTAGGGGACAAAGTTGTTTTGAAGAAGGTGTATGGGTGCCTGATACCAATCAGCTGTTGATTCATGTTGTATATTAGTTGTTAGTCAAGACAACCGGAAACGTCCGATGTGTTTACCCGTTAGCAACCTATCGTGGTTTAAATTCAAGCTAGCAAGAGGACTTTAAGTTAGCTCAGCTGATACAAAAACGACTACATCCACCAAGCTGGACAACACGTTGGACTTAGTCGGGTTTAAATCGGGCTCGGTGGGTTCACTGACGCCTCAGAAGAAGATGAAGAAGAGGAAGGAACTGAATGCCTTGATCGGGCTAGGGGACAGCAAGAGAAAGAAGACCAAAAAGGGGTCTGGTCACCGACTTCTCCGAACCGAGCCTCCGGACTCTGAGTCCGACTCCAGCTCAGACGACGATGAGTTCAACAACTTGAGCAGCGGGGCTAACTTTGGGAAGTGAGTGATCACTTTAATAAGGTTTTGTTGTGGTAAAGTACGAGTATACTGTCATCACTTTTCAAAAGAAGATTCAAAGGCTTTGTTGTCATATGCAAAGTAGCCACAGTGGCAATGGTAATCTAAAGCCCCAGGCTCCTCCAACAATGCAACATAAATATATATGAGACATAAAACATTTATATCTTTATTTCGAACAGAAAAAAGACAAACAATTCAATTAATTTAAGAAAAAGTAGAAATAAAATGAGGCAAGAGGAATGTGCAATTAAAATGCAAAGCATTTAAATATAATATTGGAAACATTGAACAACATTGGCAACATGAACATGACTTTCCATTAACTATGTGGAATTCATTTTTGTAATGTTGTTAAAGTTGCCAACATATCACATACCATAGAAATCACTATGGCACATAGTATTCCATTCTTCTTTACTAGGACATACAGGAGGATTGCATTAGATCTTAAATCCTTAACCAGACAAGAAGTACGTTTCCTCTGCCCTGGTGCACATGACCTATACTACACTCTGTGCAGAGAGAAATATTTGAATATGGCCCAATCAATATACTTACTCTTCGTCTGTGCTCAGGTTAAAGCAAAGTGTGACCCATCTTGCACACTGAGAATATCAGGTTTTTTCCCCAGGCAGCTTGATCAAAATAGAAACAATCAATGCTACATTCAGCATGAAAATAATATAGAATGTAGCAACTCGTGTTTTAAAGCCATGGTTTTTACCAGTAATCCTCATAATTCCCATGACACAGAATGCAGCCTTCTTAAAATATCTCCTACATGAATAATGAAAGAAGCTGTGCAGTTGTAATGTCTAACATTACCATGTGTCTTCTCTTACAGAAGAAGCTACACGCAGTGCTGCAATGTGTGCTACCCCTTGTTTCTGTTCATCATACTTGCTGCCTGCGTTATGGCCTGTGCTGGACTCATATGGATGCAGATTGCTCTGAAGGAAGATCTAGACTCGCTGAAAGAAAAGCTGCATAGCAGTAAGACACAGTTACCTCGTGATGAGTCATAAAAAGCTCACTGCCCTTTGAACAATAACAACCTGTTATATGCCCGTTACATGTTCGTTTGTCCGTAACACTCCTGTAAACTTATTTGATTGTTTGTGTAACAGTGGAATCCAGCCAGAAAGTGTCATCAAGTGAAATACCAAAACTAAATGAGGACCTGAAAAACAAGGAGAGAAAGCTTGACGACATAGAAAATGGAGACAAGGGGTTGGGAAAGCTCTGGTCCAACCTAACAGAAATGAACAGAAAGGTCAGTTTTATTTATTCGCTCAGAGGTTTTAAAGCCACCAGAGCTCATGACAAAGGGATAGCATCAAGACTTACCGTGTTTGTCATACGTCAGTTGCTGATCTTTTCTTGACATTCACTTTTTAACTTTGTGCTAGTCTTAGTTTTCTTTGAAAGTATTGACTAGATTGGTAACTCTATCTTAGAGATGTAACTTCATCTTTTTTGTAATTGTACTCCTGCAGATCAGTTTGCTGGACTCGGCTGTAACCCATTTAAAGGTCAACTTGAAATCAGCTGCTGACTTAGTCAACCTTCCCACTACAGTTGAAGAGCTTCAAAAGGTAAAAGCAAAAAGAATTGGATGGATGAAATCTGCTTGAGAAGAATCTTTATCAACGGATATTCTATGTGTTGTACTGATTTTCACAATTGACCTGGAAGTGTGTTTTTTGTTTTCCAGAGTGTTGCTACAATTGGCAGCACACTAACAAGTGTACAGCACGATGTGAAGACTATGCAGGCTGCTTTTGAGCAGCAGAAGAAAGATGAAGAGTTGAAGAAAGCAATGGTAAATTCAAGCTAATTTCGAATAGGTCCTTATTTAAACTTGGAGATTATTAAATCTCTTATTTGTTCTTGCCTTGCAAAGTTAATGTTACATACTTTAAAAGTTTCACATATTAAGTTTGTGGTAATTTAATCATCAGTTTTTTATCTCAGAATGGATCGACATATACAGTATATGTGCCGTTCAGTCAATGATGACTGTTGTTTGTGAAGAGATGTAGAACAATCATAGCCACTAGACTTTCTGTTCATTCTTCCAATTGTGTAATACATTCGTAAGATCTCTATGCAGTGTGTTGGGCAGATGACAGCCATCACAGGTTCTGAAGCTGTGCTCCTTTTGTAAATAGGGCTGCAAGCTCAAGTGTTTTGCACATGAGAAAAGCACATGTATTTTTCATGAGCCGAATTCAAAGATTTCACTTATTTTGTGTGACAGCCTGTCTTTTTTCCTTACATCTCTACCCTCACTTCAAATATAGCTCACGGCTGCTGTTCTCATTTATTATTAATGCTCAAACGTATGGAGAGCAGTGTTTAGAAAACAAGTTAACAGTGTGTTGTGCTTAAGTGGATTAGTTCAGTAACTTGGCGTGCCTAATGTACTGCTGAGAAATGTTGCTTTTGTGCATATTCAGCTCACTCCATTTTGAGGCAAATCTTTCTCCATATGGCCCAAAATCTTCTGTTGATTACATTTCAGTTGATCTGCCAACTGTGGCGCTTTTCCAGAAATTGAATCCGCGGTGAATTTGCCACTGTCAGATTAACGTGTAATGTTTATTTGTTTACTCACGCATGCAAAAATGTTTTTGCAATTTCTGTCGGGCTTACATTGACAGAGCAGTCGGGCTTAGAAGGTCCTGTCATTTCTTGGATTCTCGCGTTGGGTTTCCATTCATAATTCATGAAACAAGTTCCAATCTATTTTGGGATCTTCGATGCTTTAGTTTGTTGAGGGAAACTAGGTCAAATATCTGAGACAACTGCAGAATGTTTTCTCCATTTTTCATAAGGAAAATAGGATGGGTAAAGAGGATCAGCAAATAATAATAATCCTAAACTACATCATTTTCAGCGATTTAGTCAGTGATGAATTGCTAGCTGACTGATGTCCATAGTCCATTTTGAATGGCCTGGATGTCTACAATTCACATAAACACATAGAAATGTCCGCTTACACAAAACTGCATGTTGCTTTACATGTATATTTCTTGTCATAGGAAATAACAGACCTGAGAAAAGCAGTAGGTGAGGCGAACAAGACCGAGGAGCTGCGTCACACACAGACTGACGGGCAGATCCACATCCTCCTCTCTACGGTCGCAGAGCTTCAGCAGAGAGTGTTGTCGTTAGAGAACGGGTCAAAACAAAGTGTGAGTAATATGAAGCTTCTACGTTTATTTCTGCATTTAAAAGTATGCATGTTGATCACTGACTTCAAAGGTAAAAAAGAACTCAATGCACTTTACATCTGCTTCACTGTCAAAGGTGAATAACGCAGCAGCCATCACCAGTGAAAGTCCAACAACAGAAGTTATTAAAGAAGCTACTCCAACCAAAGCAACACTTGAGGATGTGCAAGGTACACTGTAGGATAGATCACTTTATTACAGGGTCTTTATTTTGCCCCTTGTTACCTGTTTAATACATTTTCCTCCCCTTTTCTTTACAGAGGTATCCACCCCACTGACAGAGCCTCATACAAGCAGACGCCCACGCTTTCTAACTCCAAACCGTGCTAAGAGAGAGGCTTTGAAACCATGCCCAAGGAGGGTGGTCCTGTATGGTATCCGCTCTCTGAAAGGTGCAAACTACTACTCCAATTTGATAGCTAAGCTTTTATTAAATAAAAAGTTTGGTAAATACACATATTTGCTTTCTTGCTGGGATCGAAATGAGTCCCATGTCATCCAGTAAACATAAGGCTATGATATATGAAGTCTCCTCTAGTTGCCTGGCAACCACACTGTGATGACAAGACTTTGTGTAGTTACTGCTCCAATTTAAGAAATGCTCTGCAAACCCCATTAAAAGTTAACTTGCAGTCCGTACATACAAGCAAAGGAGCTATGACAAAATCAAAGAACTGGCTCTTCAAATGTTCATTTATTTATTCTAGTAACAAACATCACAAAACTTAATTATAAATGTATATTTTGTTGGGTTTCTACTCAGTGTGCCGTGTGCAATTGTTTGTCTTTTTTTCTACTGTGTTCATTTGCATATCACAATGCAACTTTAAAGGTGCTTACCGCATCTTGCTAAACTGTGTGTACTGCTCTAGTTGGGTTAATATAGGCAATTTGGCCTTTCATTATTGGCTAATAATTGATTGCCTATAATTGCATTATCGGATCAATACATAGTAGTATACATTTCCCAACAATACATCATGCATCCCTACATTTCCCTCTCATTTTCTGTCTTGATGTGTATTTAACAGACAGACATGATAGGAGTCAAATTAATCTCTGCAAGAAAGGCTACAAAATTGTTCTATGAATATTTTCAGTTTTGCAAAGTGCCATTTCAAGAGTGCAGAGCTCTCTTTTTGATTATTATATTATATTATTCTTTTCCCAGAGTTGGAGGACTTCTACCAGCAGGAAGGCGTCGGGCGTGATTCGCCCGGATTGACCTACCGCAGCCTGAGGGAAATAATTGGAACATCTACTACTGCTCATACCATGGAGTGTTTTGACAATGACGGAGACAAGAGGTACTCCCTGATGGAGCTTAGAGCTGCTGTAGGTTGGTGAGCACATCATCACTGACAGTAGTGAACAGTATTGAATACCCAGCGGGGTCTGGTAGTTTGAAGTTCCTGACCCTTTTCTGTAATTGCTGCACTTTTGTGAACTGTATATTTATCCTTCTGATTGTGGAACAGTGGTGCAGGCATGCCCCATTCTCACATCCTGGTTTGTCTCATCACAATCTAATTCATGAGCCATACTCTTACATTTTTAAATGAACGACATGTATACAGTATATTCAGCTTTGATTTTAGAAGATTTCTTGGATTACATGAAATAAAAACGGGGGAAGTGTTTAGAATTATTTTTGAATCCTGTTTTCCACCCTTAATTCTCAAACTTCCGGTTTTCAGTTTTAATTGTATTGTCAGTCTGTTCCATCTCGATGTAACTTTTTTGTGTATTTAGCTTTCCTGGAGGCGGTAATGGTCAGCCTATTACCCCACCCATCAAAACTAACACCTGGTAGAACTCACCTGAACCTGGTCCTAACTTAACTGAAACACAGTTGAGCATAAGAGAATGGATTATCTACGCTCTTTCCTAAACTAACAACCGTTTCTGCGTGGTGTTTTTTCCTCATCTATTTTCAGTTAGTTACTACAATTTAATTGTATTTAGTCCATCTGTACCATTTTTTTTTTTTTTGCAGCTTTCAGTTTAACCAGTTTTGAAGGGCTATGAACACTTTCATAAAGGGTTTAAGTAGTTACTCGTATGTAGCAATAACAAACTGACATAGATATTGCTTGTTCAAATTTGCAGTAGACAGAAAGCACAGCTAGCTCACAATATTTTACAGGTAGTATAAGAAGCACTGACCATCACTCTTTACTTGATTCATTTTATTCAATTTTTATGGGCCTAATAATGGTGTATTTACATTACAAATGTGTCATACTTATACATTGTTGTACTCTAAAGATGGTTTGAATGTATTCTCACAAATCATGTTGTGAGGGGGTTGGTAACATTTTCTTTAGTCTTAATCTCAACATTGTACATTCTTTTTTAAATAATTATCTTGTGCTTTGCATGTTGCTTATATTGTAACATGAACACATTATTTATAAACTTAACAGTCGACTTCTTGTTTTTGCAGGACAATGTAACAGCTTTGACCATAATGACATGTTGGGTCCATGCTGCTGCTGTAAATGGGGAGATTTTATGAATGTGTTTGTGTGTGAGCACCAATGAATAAACAAAGTTTAAAAAGTTTGATTTCCATTTGGTTCCTTTTAGTGATGAAATGACAACTTTTCTACAAAACAATGTTTCACATCACAGCATCACATTTATTTCAGTTTGAAATATACAAAAATGAGGTGACACTGTTTTATCAAACATATTTACAATTGTTGGATCACTGACAGACTTACACATGGCTTTTTTCTCAATGTTATCACTCAAGCCAGTGCCCCTTTAGCCCTCCAGTCCCCGGACAGAAGCCCCATCAGCACCTCTTCATCCTCTTCTTCCTCGTCGCTGGCATCGACCTCCATACTTTCATCTTTTTGTGGCTGATTCCTTTTCACCACATCTCGCTTATCTCTTAGTAATTCAACCCTCCTGTAACACTCCATCTGTTCATCAATTTCGTCAATCTGCCTTTCCAGGCGACCCTCCTCGTCGTCCTCCGCCACGATGGCTTCAGATTTTGTGTTCACCTGTCGGATCTCCTTTTGAAACTCATCCCACTCCTTGTCCATTTGATCTTTGGGTGCGTCAACATTGCGCACTTTCGCATCTCTCACAGGGTCGTCGAAGAAGCCTTCTGGCAGTGCTTCGGCTGAGTTGTCCTTCTTCTCTGTGCTCTTCTCCTGCCCGTCTGCTTTGAGGATGGATCCTGAGTGAGAGACGGCAGGTGTGGATGGGATGGAGCTGTCAAAGAAATCGTCAGGTAGTCCCGCAGATTGTTCCTTTTGGGGAGCGGGAGTTGATGAAGTTCCTGCCTCTCCAGCATCTTCTTCCATCTCATCATCTTCATCATAAACTCCAACCGACAGACTCAGTCCTGCAGATTTTTGCATAGAAACCGGTGCGTGGGGTTTCTTAAAGACATCGTCTGATAGCACTGAAGATGAAGGTTTCGCTTTTTTCCCGCTGCCGTCCTCGGTGTCCGATGCTTTTCTCTTCACCGGTTGTATCTGTGGTGTCGCTGGTTGACTTTTTCCTGACTTAAGCTCGGCAACTTTCTCTTTGTGCGGTTTTCCAAGAACATGCGCAGGCCACAGTAGCTCGGACTTCACCTGCACATTGCACAGTAAACAACTGAGGTGCCCGAGACTGTTGTACTTAGCAAAAGGAGACTCCACGCGCTTCTTGTCCGTTGTTTGCCTCTGTTTTACCCTCATTAAGCGTCGCAGTTCCTCCTGATTTACCACTTTCTTCCCCTTCTTTGAGGACGCCATTCTTCAAAACAACGTAGCTTGTTAGCTAGCTAGCTAGCTTCTTGCTTTTGCAGTGAATGCGTCTCGTTAAGATGACATCAACGGCATGAACTCTCGTCAAACTGTGTGTTTTAGAAAAATCTCGCGATATTTTCCACTCGCAGTAAGCTAGCAGGGATGTTAGCTCAGCTGGTTTATTGTACCATCCAGTCCGCCTGAATTTCGCCGCAAAGCGACCTGAATCGATACCATTTGATAACCTATATCCACGCAGGGGTAGAGACAATTATGTAGTCGTTTGGTATTCGTTTTAATCCTTAGCTGTATGTTGATTTAGTGCGTGTGTGTTGTGTTATGTTATGTTAGACATTATTTTGTGTTTTCATCACCGCACCCACCATATTTATTTTTTATTGTGGGCTAGCTAGCGACCATTTGCTGGAAGCTAACACTGGCTCTGGAGCAGCAGGTGTAACATTATTTGAATAACAGAGAGCGACCAACCATCTACTAGAAAAGCATCGCTGTTTGCGCAATTTGTTTACAAGATCATTTGACATCATATTTGATTCAGATTGATGCCACATTTTGACCAGATTAAGCCCATTAACGTTAATTTGTTAGCCGGTTAACGCGCGGTAGTCATCATGACAGGGGAGAAGATACGCACCATGCGAAAGGACCACAACAAACCCAACAAAAATGAGGAGATATTGGACACGTACGATGAGACCTCAACCGGGACTATCCCTAACGGTACCGGTAACCATTTAAAATCCAACAAGGCTTTTCAGCAATCAGAGAAAACCTCGGCACTGCAACAGCAGCTCAATGAAAACAACATTAATGGAAATCCATCACCAATTGGCACCATTGTCAATGATAACAACAAGAACCCAATAATCCTGAGCACTGAGGACTTGGACTTCCCCGTTCATGAGTGTGTGTTCAAAGGTGATGTGAGGAGGCTATCCTCTCTCATCAGGACCCACAGCATCTCTCAGAAAGATGTACATGGTGAGCTATGTTGAGTATGTTGTTCAAATGCATCACACAATGATGTTTATTTGTATATGTACTCAGGAGATCATCTCACGTGCTTCTCTTTCAGGGAACACACCTCTTCACCTGGCTGTGATGATGGGCCACAAAGGTAAAAGTGATAGAAACATGTATTGTGTTGAACTCGATGTTTAATCCTACCAGGTTATTGTCACACACAGGATTAATAAAAATGAGCCAAATAAAGCTTCTTATATGGTAATACACTGTGCTCCATGGCCTAATAATGTGGCATTGTTGTTATTATCTTTATTAAAGGGCTTTTGACATCCTCATTAAAGTCCCTTTTTAAAAGCACGCCAGTTTTTCTTTATTTTTCAGAGTAACCTCCATGCTCCTGTATTCATCATGTCTTACGGACTTTTGCAGTATAAGGATAGCATGTAGCTGTACGTTTAACATAGTTGTTATCTTAAAGGTGGGGTAGGTAATTTTGGAGAAACCAGTTTGAGTGCACTAGAATTTGAAAATACACAGGCGGAAGAAATCTGCCACTTCCTTACAGAGCCCCTCCTCCAACACACACAAACGAGCACATGACCAATGAGATACGTTTGTGCACAGATGCAAGGCTGACAGGCAGGTAGGCCATCCAGTTATTTTAGCCGGGCCGCTAAAATGATTGGTCGTGCTTTTTACAGCACTACGGCTTCCACAGATGACCTTTTTTTATGGATTTTTTGCCAAAGCTCTTAAGATATTCATTGCTATCGGGATGTTAAGAGCATTCCATGGAATATAACAAAAAGTGTATCTCGAGCCGGTTTCTCAAACGTACCTACCCCACCTTTAAGGAAAACACATCACTGATTACATGCAATACAGCTGATTTAGGAAGGAAAATGTATACTTTGTTATGCATTGCAGTATAATCATGTAAAGTATATTTATACAGCTCTAAATAACAAATAAGTCCCTTCCAATCTGTACAATAAACAACACCCTCTGACCTTAGAAACATATTGATAATCAAAGACAGAAACAGGCAGAAAGGGGAAAAGAGAACTTTGTCTAAATATTGTTTTGTGTGTTCTTTCAGAATGTGCCCTCCTCCTCCTGGCCCATAACGCTCCTGTAAAGATAAAGAACGCACAGGGGTGGAGCCCTCTAGCAGAAGCTATCAGCTACGGCGACAGGCAGATGAGTGAGTTTCTCTCAACACGGCTCTGAACCGCTGTCTGCTTTCCTGGGGTTTTCATATTTGGATGTGTTTATGGTTTCAATTTCATACCTGCAATAATATACGTATAACAGTGGGTTCGGTGATGCATGTCTGACGGGCCGATAGTGTTACGAAGGCTTCATGGTGTCAGCTTCAGTCTCAATTTGAAGAATAGTCAGTCATTCTGACATCTGGAACTGCTTTCTGTTTGAATGCTAACATTGTATCAGCTTTGATAAATGTCAGCACTGTGGCCGTGCTGTGTTCAGGAAGTATCTCAGATAACTCTGTACAGTGTTTCTGCTGTAACTTGAGGGATACAATCAGTTGGATAGCTTAGAAGAAAAATACGTTTGTTTTCAAGAGAAAGCCATAGTTTTACTACTTCCATATGATGTTACTAATGTGAGCCTCTTTGTCAAATTCCAACTTTTTTCATCTTGTATTTTGCAAATTGTTGAAAAGGGCAAACAGGGCTCGAAGTGTACAGCTTATGTGTGAACGTTTTGTGAGTGATTTCATTGTTTAAAGATAGCTATCATGTTGATCCAGTTTAAAAGATAAAAGTGGGGATTTTCTCTGAGCACTCATCATCCAGATGTGCTGGAACGCAGCCTGAACTCTGGCTTAGTGTGAGGCGGCCCTGAGCCCCCCCCCCCCCCCCCTGCCGAATGATGCTGCTGCTTTTAGACCTGACATCCAGAGAAAAAGAGTCAAATGACACGTGAAAGGCACCAACTAATGCCTCTGGGACGAATTCAGTCTTTTCCTTTTTGTTTTTAGGTTGTGGTATTATCTTTGTGTACATAAAGATTAGACTAAAGATAAAAGGCAGGCTAAGTTTCTCATAAAAGGACTGTGTACCAAATCACAGATTTGATGACAAAGCCACATTTATATCACTGCTAGTTGCCTAGAGAATCTAACTGGAATATCCGCATACCTTTCCCAGTCTGTGATGAAGGTTGTGAGGCCGAGCAGTTTGAGGAATGACCCTCAACCTTGTTAGTATGCGTGGCAGGCTGGTCTGGGACTGGGACCAGGAATGGCGCTTTGAGAAGGTCACACCACTCGCAGGGGTGAAGGGGAGGCAGAGAGGGGGCTGGGGAAAGTCACCCACATTAGCACGAATATGCAAATACAGGCATAGCGGGGGTGTTTTACTCAGATCTCTGGTTAAATAAAATGCAGCACCAAACTATCTTTCTCTGAGTGAAAAGGACAAATGGAGAATAATGTGTGCTTGAAATAAAATGTGTTGGGTACAGCTTTTCACAAAACACTGCAGTCTCGTCATCACCTTTCGCTTTTACACATCTGCACATTGCGTCAGCAGCTATGCAATGACGAGCTGCAGCCAGCGCCTCGTCAGCACTTCTCTCCTCAGGCACGTCCAATGTTTCCCTGCTGGTGGAGATACCCAGGGTACCTCTGAGAAATGTTGATTTGTTGGGGTCCACGTAGGGCTGCACGATTTTTGGAAAAAATCTAATTGCGATTTTTCTGACAAATATTGCGATTCGATTTGCGATATTTGTTTTTAAGCGACCCAACGGAAGTTTATTGTAAAATGCAGCCATATCTCCGGCTAGGAAGGTCGTATCAACGTACTCCAGTCTCCAGCACCTCCGCAGCCCGAGCTACGAGTGAAATAACTAAACTTACATGAAACTTCCGTTGGGTTGCTTTAAAGTCAAGCTTCCGTTTAAGATTCACCCTGTAATAGAAACATGTGATGGAGCATTACTAACCTGACTCAGATGCTTTGTTTCACCAAACCATCTAAAGCTCCATTGGAAGCCATTTGGAAAGGGCAGGCACTTTCAAAAGCACTTGGCAGGATTGGATCAATCGGTCTATCACCTTCTATCATGGGCCACTTCTGATTGATTAACAATGGCTGGTACATGTGGAGCATAGCACTTCTGATTTTTTTTTAAATCTCAGGCTTTGCGATTTCATAATCACATCATTTCATAATCACATCATTTAAAATCGCGATTTCGATTTAAAATCGATTAATCGTTCAGCCCTAGGTCCACGTGGTGTTGCTTGTTGTGCCTGAGGCCCCGGCCACACGAGGACGAAAACGGCTAAACGCATCGCAAAAAAGCTTCCGTCCACATGCAATAGTTATCCGGATAGTGTCTGTCCACACGAGACCGCTCCGTTTAGCTCCAACCGCTGGATAAACTGCAGTACATATGCAGGAGCCTGTACGTGGCGCTGTAACTTCCTCCACAAAAGCAGCGAAGAAGCATGGTTGTCATGGTTGCCCTTCTGTTTATTCTCCGCGGTGGGGGCCGAGAGAACCGGGCAGAGTTTTTCGCATGTCAACATGTACTAAAGTTTAAATCTTCCGACAAAATTATAAAAGTGCCGGTCAAAGGTCTTCTTTGTTATTTATTGAGCTTTAAAACAAATGAATAACGACTCTATATAATATAATAATAAAAATACACGGAGCCTCTCTTTTTCCACTCGATCTTTGGACAGCGTCAGTGTCTGTTTCATGCAGCAGCTGATCCAGTAATGAGTGACCCGGCCGACAGTAAAAATAAACATATTTATAACTAGTTTATGTAGTTTGAGAGGTGTCTCCGTCCTGTCAGATTAGACTTCACTCGCGTTTATGTCCATATCGAGAGAAAGATAAATAATCTGAATTCAGTGTGCAGTTTACTTTGACGCGGGGTGAGCAGCAGAGGTGGGGAGAGGCGGGGCTATTGCCTCATCATTATCAGAAAATGATCGTATAGGGCGTACACACGGAGCCGTTGGACCCCCCAGAGCGTCGCGTATGCCGTTCTATCCACCTTGGGACCCGTTATCGTTTCCGCAGTCGTTTAGTGCCGTATTCGGTCGTCCTCGTATGGCTGAACGGTCTA